AAATAATGCTCTGCAAAACCATACAATGGCTTAATCATCTAAGAAAGAGGCCGGGCGTGCTGGCTCACGCCTATAATCCCACCACTTTGGGAGGCCGAGGTAGGCAAATCACCTGAGGTCAGGAGTTTGAGACTAGCTGGCCAACATGGTGAAATCCTGTCTCCACTAAAAAATACAAAAAAATTAGCCAGGCATGGTGACAGGTGCCTGTAATCCCAGCTACTAGGGAGGCTGAGGCAGGAGAATCGCCTGACCCCCGAAGGCGGAGGTTGCAGTGAGCCAAGATCATGCCATTGCACTCCAGCCTGGGTGACAAGAGTGAGACTGTCTCAAAAAAAAAAAAAAAAAAAAAAGGTATATTTTGTGACCAGGCTCATGCAGATGGCAGATCCTGGGACTTCTCAGCCTCTATAATTGCATCATCAAATTCCCATTAAAAAATCTCAAAAAAGAAAACAAAGAAAAAAAAAGATTATATTATGGTCAGAATAGCTTCGGCATTAGATGTATTTATTCTAATTCCTGGAAAACTAGTAATGTATATGGTATACCCCAATTAACAAGAACTCCTCATCCTTCACTCATTCTGCATAAGGGCGGATTTACAATAATCACTATCTATAAGTAAAGGTTATTATTTATGTGATATATATAAAAGCTGTTCTTTCAAAAAATATTTTAATGAACACCTACTGGGGACCAGGCACTGTACTAAGAGATAAGAACATACTGTGAACTGTCCCTGTCTAGGACAGCCTTTCTCAATTTAGGGTTCCTTAACTCCAGCTGCATAGGAAAAAAGTTAATTTATTACTTACAATGCATGTCCTAGGGCCTCAGTGCCAATTCTCTCCATGTTGAGAAAGACTAGTCTAGGGAGCCACACAAGTTAAAAGGCAATTATAACACAATATGATTAAAGAACTGCTTTTAAGTATGGTCAACTGTTAAATCTAGAACTCTATGAACAGCCATGTGGGAGCCAAGATGCACAGACCATTTGTAATAGTCATGCAAATGTAAAAATATTGCAATACAT